CGGCGGCGGAGCCAATCAGCAGCGAGGCCGTTTCCAAGGAAGGTGAGAGCTTTCATTTGTCTGGCTTCTATCAATTGTGAGAAGAGAAGGTGAAGGATGGAGGGCAGCGTGCAGGGGGGCCGCACAGAGCTGCCTGGTGCTCTACAGCTGCTGTGGAACTACAAGTCCCAGCAGGGCAGAGCACAGAGGCTGCCAGGGCCTGCAGCAGGCCAAGAACAGGGACAAGCCATAGGCTGCCTCCCAGTATAATAGTGCCAGGGAAGAACTATGGGGGGGAGAAAGCTGGAGACTGCCTCCTGAAAATACCAATGGCCTGGCTTCTGCCATGGAACAAGCATGTGGCAAGTGAAGGCAGGAGGAGCTCTGAGTCGGTGACACAGAAGCTACACAGCCAGCCAGGCCAATAGCATTCCTGAGAATCTGATGGAAGCAGTGACTGCCTGTGTCCTCCAATCATCACAGGTTTCCTTGAGGTAGGACTAAAGGCAAAGCTGTTTTTTGTTTTCATTTTGGATGGAGTAAGGGAGGGTAAGACCCTCTGGCAGGTCTTTTTTTATTTTGCCATCTGCGTCCCATTGTGGAGATTTCCCTTCACTTCCTGTCCCATAGCTAAAACAGGAAGTGAGATGAAATCCCTGCAAAGTGAGGGAATCCCCGGGTGTCACCAGAACAAGTGTCCCCTTTGGAAGATTTCCCCTCTATTCCTGTTCTAGGGACAACTCAAAATCTGGGATTTTCTTTCACTTTCAATGTTAGGCGTAAACAGGACAATAGAGGGGATGAATCTCCCTAAAAGGGACACAGACAGCAAAAAAAAAAAAAAAAAGCTTTGCCTTAACTTATACTTCAAATTAGAACTATAGGCAGAAGTGTTGTTTTCATCTTGGATAGAGTAAGGGAGGGTTATGGTATCAGTGTTGACACCGAATATTTCCATGAGTACTCATATTCTCAGTGGTAGGAGAGGAGAGAAAGCTGCGGGGATTTTTCTCCTCTCCTTGCAGGGATGATAGTTTGGGCTAGAAGGCTTTTAATTGGTCAGCACAGTCACATGGACAGTGCTGACCAATCAGATGCCATGTAGCCTGTACTGTCATCCCTGCGAGGAGAGAAAGCCACGGGGATTTCAAATCCCCAGACCTGTGAAGCTGCTTTCTCTCCTCTCCTCACAGGGATGACAATCCCGTGGCTTTCTCTCCCCTCCTTGCAGGGATGATAGTTGAGGCTAGAAGGCTTTTGTATTGGTCAGCACCATCATCACATGGACGGTGCTGACCAATCAGATGCCATGTAGCCTGTACTGTCATCCCTGCAAGGAGAGAAAACTGCGGGGGTTTCAAATCCCCAGACCTGTGAAGCCTCATTCTCTCCTCTCCTTACAGGGATGACAATCCCCCGCGGCTTTCTCTCCTCTCCTTGCAGGGATGATAGTTTAAGCTAGAAGGCTTTTGTATTGGTCAGCACAGTCACATAGATGGTGCTGACCAATCAGATACCATGTAGCCTGTACTGTCATCCCTGCGAGGAGAGAAAGCCATGGGGATTTCAAATCCCCACACTTGTGAAGCATCTTTCTCTCCTCTCCTTACAGGGATGACAGTACGGGCCAGATGGCATCTGATTGGTCAGCACCGTCCATGTGACAAAAACTTTCTAGCCCAAACTGTCATCCCTGCAAGGAGATGAGTGAAAGCGAAGGGTATTTCAAATCCCCGCCATTCTCTCCCCGCCTACCACTGAGAATATGGAGCATCTGCCACCATAGTATACATCCTCACACGCCCAATCTCTGCTACGTGAAACCTCCCTGCGGTGCTCCTGTGTGAACTCTGGTTATAACAGCCTGGGTCCACAGTGAAGCATATGGGAAACTGCATGCACTTTGAACAGGAATTGCATTCCTGTTCTAATCGCATGTTCTTTGCAATGCAATTTGCACCCATACATTTTGTATTGGCACAAATCGTACCACAAAGTATCAGTAATCGGTATATGCGAGTACTTGACCAAAAATATCAGTACTTGTACTCGCCGAAAAAAAAAAAGGGGGTATCTTGCAAATGTTTCAATTGCTAGAAATGCAGTTGGTTGCTGTGAAGCAAGCACAGGCCCATACAAAACTGCTAGTAAAATATCGGGGTTGACATAAAACTCTGTTCAATGAAAGAAATCTACTTTTATAAAAAAAAGCATGAACTGGAGCGATGATAGGCAATGAAAAACATGGTAGATGAAGCAGACATACCTGGGTGAAATGGCAGAATGTGACATAGATGCATTTGTACTCCTAAGCAGAATGATCTAACAATGAATATAGAGGAAGGTGAAAAGAAAGAAGTGTGTGTATTCAGTGCCGGGACATGGTCACCTGGTGCCCAGTGCAAAAATGGCAAACTGTGATGCTCCATTTATTCTGAAAGAGTCAGTGTCATTTCAAAACCAGTTTGAAACAGTAACCCACAGCATAGCTGGCAGTTTCCATGATAATAACCCACATCATCAATGCCAGTTTACACAAAACACAGTAATAGCTCCCAGCATTGATGACAGTAGCAACAATAATAACCCCCACCATCAGTACCAGTTTCTACAATAATGACCCCCAGCATTAGTATCAGCAGCAGCAAATAATAACCCCAAGCATTAGTGCCAGTTTCTGCAATAACAACCCCTAAGCGTCAGTGCCAGTTTGCGCAATAATAACTGTTCACATAGATGGCATTTACCATAATAATAACCCCTCCGCATCAGTACCAGTTTCTGCAGTAATAACCCCCAGCATTGGTATCAGCAGCTGCAGCAGCAATAATAACCCCACACATTAGTGCCAGTTTCTGCAATAACAGCCCTAAACATCAGTGCCAGTTTGCGCAATAATAACGCCTAGCATAGATGGCATTTTCCATAATAACTCTCAGCATAAATGATAGTTTACGCAATAATAACCCCCCACATCTGTGTCAGCAGCAGCAATAACCCCCATCATAATCCACATCATAGGCTGTCAGTGGCATTATGCTTTCTAAACACCCTTTCATTGATGGCCTTTAATGTGTAATTCCAGCATGAACCTAACTAGATTTAAAATGATCCCCCCAACACCTATGCTGACCAACCTGTGTAACGGGGGGAAAAAAAGTGTATATACTTACCTATTTTTAGGCCACTCCAGTCTGGTCATGTGATCCTCCCTGTATCAGCCAGCAGGGGGAGGAGAGAGTGCTCCAACAACAGGTGGTAAAGGCTGTGCAGTGATGTCACCCATAGTCTTCCATGTCCCATACATTGCCAGCACTCCCTCTTCTCCCCTGCATGCACCACTGGCTCACAAAGAGATCACTTGAATGGGTTGGAGCATCCTGAAAATGTTAGCATAGGTATTAAAAGGGGGGGGGGGCATTTTTAAGGCTAGTTAGGTTTATGCTGCAATTCTATTTTAATCTTTCTTTCACAGTAAAAGACTTTGAGCCGCTGTAAATAAATATATATTTACTATTATATATCTGCTCTGCCTGCTGCTGTATTTGTTACGTTACACTTGTATTAAGGGTGTAACCTGTTTCTGTTGCAGCAGCCTCCATAACCTTAGGTAGTTCATTGATGCTTCCTGTCAATGTGTAACTGCCTGCTTGTACGAGGTATGAGCAGACCGATACACAGACCGTCTGTAGAAGCCTGACACCGCACCTGCAAACTGCTGATCGGGGGGGGGGGTGCAGTGCTATACAGGCTTCTAATAAAAAAATTAATAAACACAAATGCAATAATAAAGATATGCATTTATTATTTTTTACAAAGGTGAACTTAGTTCCATGAAGTAAAACAAGAAGAAGCGCACCAACCTTGTGCATTACCTCAGTAACCAAATTTATTTAGTAAAAGAATGGTACTCACAAACAGCGAATAAAAACAGGCATGTAAGTCCTCCCGCGTTTCGAAGGTCATGCCTTCTTCCTCAGAACTCCATGACCTTCGAAACGCGTCAGCTGTACTGAGTGTCCACCCCCACGATGGGATTCGCGCTGGCCTCTTGCCTTTGAAGTCCGGAGGACTTACATGCCTGTTTTATTCGCTGTTTGTGAGTACCATTCTTTTACTAAATAAATTTGGTTACTGAGGTAATGCACAAGGTTGGTGCGCGTCTTCTTGTTTTACTTCACAGTTCTGTTCGGGCTTCCCCAGCCTTGGTTTGGAGCTGCACGACCTTGTATGCCCCGGTGGTTGTTTTGTTGGGATTTGATCTACTCACCACCGGCCTGGGTCCCGGCACGCAGGAGAAATTGCATTTAGAACTTAGTTCCATGACAGGTTAAAGAATAATATGTATATATGTTTTTTTGTAATTGTGACACTATATTTGTACTTTACATACTCTACATGTGAAAGATACTCTTGTTGGAAGTGGCATCTTTTTATAGGGCCCATTATGACTGCCATCCTAGTGTGTTGCATTAGTGTGCATTAAGGCAACCTTTTAAACAAATGGGCTGCCATTGCACCAGTATGGACAAAAAAAAGTACATACAGCATTTTGTTTTTCCATGCAGTGCACCACAACACACAGGAGAACATTACAATGCATTGTGTGCAGCAACAAGTGTGTCAGAACTGTGTTGTCTTTGTTGCTTTAGAGTGCCATTCAGAATGTATGGCAGAGCAACGTGTTACCATATGTAATGTGATCATTGCTTCCAACGCACCTTAATGGCAAAGTGTAAATGGGCCATAACCCAAAGATATGTAATGTACTGGATAAGCTCTGCTATTGTAAAAGTATTGATCACTTACCCTTTTGAAAAAGGAATGTTCCTTTCACTGCCAAGATTTCTCATCATACCAGTCAGAATAAAATAAACTGCAGGGTCGGGGCTGTTGAGTGTTCACCCTATCTACTGTATGCACACCCTAACCTGCAGCTGCACAGAGGGCTCATAGAGAGGCCTTCCAGGGATCTCTAACATGTATACAAACTCTTGCTTTGACAGTTTTCAGTTGTTACCATGTTGGACACTTTGGCATCCTCAGCGATGACAATGGGCCACACCAAGGAACAGATATCTGAGAAGATCCTGAACCATGCCTTAGAAATTATCTACCTGCTGACAGGAGAGGTGAGCTCCACTTTGGACCACAATGTAGATTGTTAAAGGAAACATATTGTCTTACAACTGTTGTTGAGATATGCATAAAAAATCTAGCAGCCTGATATAAATATAATTTTCAATGTATTAGTGCTGATGTCTGTTGTATTGGGGGTGCAATGTGTTGTTACAATGGAAGGCTCTGTTTGTTTGTTTTGTTTTTTTCTTTGCACTGCCAGTCACTTTTTCTGAGATTAAGTTGATCATTCTATAAAAGAGTGCCTTGGGTTTTGAAGCTGTTGGGGTGTTGAGCAGCTAAGTAACTAAACATGTGTGTAAATACCTGTAGCTCTCTGTTATTAACACCGGGGAGAGAGGGGGGCTAAGGCTGGGACTTTTTCTGGGTGCCACCATCATGAATGTGATGTCAGCAGACTCATTTAAGTGACACTTTATAGCATTCACCTTCGCTCCTCTCTAGCTGAAATATACTATGAAATTAATACTATGCATGGAGGTGAAGGGAGGGGGAGGAGGAGCTGGGTCAGCACAGATAGTAATTAAAGACACTCCCAGATGAGAAGACTGTCACATGCAGGAAGGGGGGACTGTGGTAGAGAACTAACTAGTCAAGTATAGACAAGCACATTGCAAGTGTGTAAATATAATTCATGCAAAGAAAAACACGCACATTTCAAGTATTCAATTTGTCTGCACTTTACCTGAAAATGTATAGGTCGGTGGCAGGAGCTCCTCAATCTTCCAAGCTGGAACACAAGCAACAATAAAACCTGACAGAGGGATCTAACCTTTCCGCTGTTTATGAAAACAGTGGCACCCTCGCTATTCTCTCTGAGGCTAACTGATCCATGCTAACACTTTTGCGGAATAATAAAGTATTCTGAATCTCAATATTCAATGGATAATTTTGATTCTGCGCAAGGGTTTCTTCTTTTCTTTTTTTTTTTTTTTTTTTTTTTTTTTACACACAAACAGTTAATTTAGACAAAGTATGACAACATTAAATTGTTGTGGAAATTCAGTAAGAGACCTCACTGCTATCAGATCAAGTTGTGAGTAGTTACATCCTAACAACTGAACTGCCTGAAATATTATCTTCAGATTCCCCCATGCTTGTTCACTCATCTCTCATTCCTGTTTGTTTCAGAAATACGTCATTGTAAAGAAAAAGTTTCCACACTGCTGCATACACCCAAAATCTGGAGGGGCAAGTATACCATTTCACCTTTTTAGTCTGGTTTACCTCTGTTAAAACTGAACTTGTAACAGACAAGCTTTTCTCTAATAGTGAGAAACCTTCTATGCGCCTACCCTCTACTTATTCCCAAACATGAGCTGCTAGTACAAGCATCACAACAGAAATAACAAGTGTAGTGCTAATTCCTGATCACATACCACTACGCTATATGCAAGATAAACTACAAAAGAAAGTTTAATTAGATCAAAATCATATACAAACGTATATATAATACACAAAAAACAACATCCCAAACACGTGGCATTTGAACGCTCAGTACACTGGTGAAACAAAGCCACTTCTAGTGCATTCTATCATGTTTATCAAGTCCAAGAAAGTATCCATGTGAAATAAAATATGGGAAAAGTGCTGCTTCCAACTCAATATAAACGTGCAAATGTTTTTAGCCAAATCACCCCTTGTGACCTGTTCCACCCACAAAAGGATAAAATTAACCTTTTTGGGGGACCTTAATTATATATTATAAGGACAGAAAAAAGCAGTACATGTTCATATAGCATCAACAGAGGTCTTGGTATACTCGATCTTTTAGGCATGGTCACTTCTAAAAGCAGAACATAAAACAGTACTTAGTGTTTTCTGCTTTTCTTGCTTTATTAAAACATATAATGATACACTTGCATATGAAGTGTATTACAGCTGTGCACTAGAACTCTTGATTCATCAGGAATATAAGCCTTTCCTGAAATGTCACTATTGCCAGTCCTTCTGGCATGCAAACTTGTGTAACTACAGCACGCCTTAAAGTGTTGCTAAACCCAGGACCCTGCATTCACTGTATCTGGTCTCCCACAGTACACAGAACATGGAAATGCAAATGTTTTAGTAAATATAAACTGCAAAATATCTTTGCTCATCAGCAGTATATAGCAGTCTTGTGCCTTAAATCAGGTTTAAAGCTTGTAGGAGGTGTTTTCATTCTCCTCTGACTGTCTTATGAGGCTGCACCTCCTGTCTGGACACTGCTTATTGGCCCTGTGCCAATCACATGCACTCTCCCAAAGAAAAAAAACTAGCAATACACACTAAACTGAGCATTTTCAGAGTGCTTCCTAAAGCTCTGATCAATCAGCAGATTGGTTGGGGACAGTAGAAGAAGGGGAGGGTCAGAGAAGACCGGATCAAACAGCCTTTTTATACAATGCAGAACTACCCTTTAGGTTCCACAGTGAGTATAACAAGCATGCTTTACTGCATAAACAGACTCTTTTTACTGTTGTGGGTTTAGTAACACTTTAAGCATTATATCCAGTGGACTTCGTCAGAGGGCTGTTTGGCTGGGAAAGGCTGTTTTACTTTTTGTATGTTTTTCAAAGAGGACCTTGCATCCACTACACCTGGCTGCATGTGGCATTCAGACCATAGGGCCCTAAATAAAGCTTTCCACATCTTTCAACTGTAGATATCCTTACAGGAGCATAAAATGTGTTCCATCTGGCAAACTGCTTCTCCCACAGATGTCAGAAGCAGGAGAGACAATGACTGTTACTCCCCTTATGCTGTACCCTAACAAGGGAAACTAACACTTGGCACAAGTTGTGATGAGCATTATATATGTTTGTTGATGTGTGAGTATGTTGGTTTATCAGTTTTGAACCCACAAATGGCATCTCTGGTACTGTGCACCAAAACTGTTGCAATGCTGCAGGTACCTGTGAAGTGTGATGATGTTGCCGTGTACTTCTCTATGGAAGAATGGGACTATGTGAAAGGACACAAGGAAGATTACCAAGATGTCATTATGGATACTGATGCACCCAGCAACACTTTGGAAATTACAGAAAATACTGACCTAGGTAATAGTACATTTTTGTACACATATACATTTTGTATTCTTAAAAAAAAAAAAACCTAAATGCATTTTAAATATTATATGACCCCAATGTATTTACCTCCTGCAATCCTTTATGCAACTGCATTCTGAGTGGGAAAGGAATGGAAAGGAGCCGTAGTGCAAGTCAGTTGGGTGTTTACTGCAGTGCACAGTGCTCTGAACAAATGGAGGCTGCAAAAGGACCATTTAAGGAGACAGTCACTTTGTAAAGTCAGGGCAAAATGAAAACTTCCTTATAACGTGGCTCTCCCAAGCCCAATGATACCCTACCTCACAGCTCCTTCCGCTGCCTTTGTCAGCACAAATAGCCAGTACTTTTTAAGTACGGAGTAGCATGTGGCCTCCTATGATGGAAAGATGCCTGTCCATTTTGTATTGACAGTCTGCAAGAGCCTGACAGATCAGCAGATCCTTTTCATCTTTAAAACAAAAAACAAAAAAAAACTTATCCTTTAGTGCCAGCAGCAAAGAAGGAGGTTGGGGGCTCCTTTTTCAAATCTGCTGTCACTTTGCCCTGAATAGGCAAAATATCAATGCCTTTTCAAAGACTAACACAAGTAACAGGAGGCACCATGAGATGCTGCACTTCATCACTGTTGCTAGCTTAGAATTATTTTAGGCCAGATGAGGTTCAGTTTAAAGCATACCTGTCAGCTATTTTAGAGCAGGCAATATGTGTTTTCTATTACCATTTTAAGTCCGCAAAGCTGCTTCTGTGGCCCCTACTGATTCTGTATCACTTGCTCATTGAAGCCTTGATTTTGTGATTAAGCCATGCCTTCTTGATGCTCTCTAGCCAGTAAAGGTGCACGCATTGAAGGGGAGATGGCAGACTGGTAGGGCTTAGATCTAGTCACTGGTTGTAGTTGAAAATCAGGGAAGACAAGATTTAGTAACCACATGAAGCCAAGAGCAGCGCAAAGAGGAGGCCTGTCTGCATCATAATAATAATAAATAATAATAATAACAGGCGCCTTGTATTGCCTACTATCAAAGCTGGGCTTGTACCCTGCAGCGCCATTATTTGTCAGCAAGGCTGCTTATCATGGGTACAAGCAAATACTAGTAAAAAATAGGATTTTTATGGTACTGCACTGTGCTAGGATGCTGAGTGGATGATTGATGCCAAGACAGAAGCACAACATCTCTCTGGGCTGACGTTGTTGTCATCTGTGATTATTGCATTTGTACAGAATCTTAGTCACGCATAACTGCAATATCAGTTTTAATGTGACATACATTACTCAACCAGTCCTGTAATTGGGATTTGTTCAATACAAATAACCTTTTGTAAGGGAATAATACTAGGATACTTCCTTTCCGAGGTCCCCAAATAATCCTTCGAGGATACTCCGAAGAAGCTGCAGTTTTTAATGTCCATAGCAAATACACACACTACAGTTTTATAATCTGCACATCTCCTGAGGAGGTACATTTTATACAGTCAGGTCCATAAATATTGGGACATCAACACAATTCTAACATTTTTGGCTCTATATACCACCACAATGGATTTGAAATGAAACAAACAAGATGTGCTTTATCTGCAGACTGTCCGCTTTAATGTGAGGGTATTTACATCCAAATCAGGTGAACGGTGTAGGAATTACAACAGTTTGCATATGTGCCTCCCACTTGTTAAGGGACCAAAAGTAATGGGACAATTGGCTTCTCAGCTGTTTCATGGCCAGGTGTGTGTTATTCCCTCATTATCCCAATTACAATGAGCAGATAAAAGGTCCAGAGTTCATTTCAAGTGTGCTATTTGCATTTGGAATCTGTTGCTGTCAACTCTCAAGATGAGATCCAAAGAGCTGTCACTATCAGTGAAGCAAGCCATCATTAGGCTGAAAAAAACAAAACAAAAACCCATCAGAGAGATAGCAAAAACATTAGGCGTGGCCAAAACAACTGTTTGGAACATTCTTAAAAAGAAGGAATGCACTGGTGAGCTCAGCAACACCAAAAGACCCGGAAGACCACGGAAAACAACTGTGGTGGATGACTGAAGAATTCTTTCCCTGGTGAAGAAAACACCCTTCACAACAGTTGGCCAGATCAAGAACACTCTCCAGGAGGTAGGTGTATGTGTGTCAAAGTCAACAATCAAGAGAAGACTTCACCAGAGTGAATACAGAGGGTTTACCACAAGATGTAAACCATTGGTGAGCCTCAAAAACAGGAAGGCCAGATTAGAGTTTGCCAAACGACATCTACAAAAGCCTTCACAGTTCTGGAACAACATTCTATGGACAGATGAGGCCAAGATCAACTTGTACCAGAGTGATGGGAAGGGAAGAGTATGGAGAAGGAAAGCAACTGCTCATGATCCTAAGCCAGTGGTTCTTAACCTGGGTTCGATCGAACCCCAGGGGTTCGGTGAGTCAGTCTCGGGGGTTCGGCGGAGGTGACCCACACCCGACTCATATGATTTGTGATGACATGCCCAGTGGTCGGCAAGCCGCGGCTCTTGTGTGCCGGGCGCCCGCTCCCCTCCCTCCTCTCGGGCGGCAGGGACTCAAATGCAATGATTGGCCAGTCTCGCTGCCATTCACATCCTGATAGCCAGTGATTGGCTGTCAGGATGTGTGTAGGCGGGGCAGCGTGACGAACGTGAGAGGAGCTAGGCTCCTCTCACAGTCCGCCCTGAAGACCGGAACGGCGCGGGAATACAGCGAGAGGAACGCGCAGAGCAAAGGTAAGTGAATTGACACAGGGGGGACTTGGGGACTTAATATGTGGGATGAATTAATATGGGGAATGAATTACTATATGGGGGATGAATTACTATATGGGGGATGAATTATTATATGGGGGATGAATTACTATATGGGGGATGAAATTACTATATGGGGGATGAATTACTATATGGGGGATGTATTACTATATGGGGGATGTATTACTATATGGGGGATGTATTACTATATGGGGGATGAATTACTATATGGGGGATGAATTACTATATGGGGGATGAATTACTATATGGGGGATGAATTTTCATACCGTTTGTTACAACATATCTTTGCGAGCAATCCTTTTCGAGGATGCTGGACATAAAGACGAAGAAAAGGAACAGACTTTGTTGCGAAAATTACATGAGAGTGGCACTTGCCAAGGTAATGCCGCGCATTTCTGAACTGGCCTCTGAAAGACAACAGCAGAAGTCACACTGATTTGCGGTAAATATTCATTATTTTGTTTTTGTGTGAAAATCATGTTTTAATGGTTTTGTTCTTTGTTCTTAATGGTTTTGTTCATTTTGTGCACCTATGTATAAATATATACCTATGTTTTTGAATTTTAAAAATCATATTTTATTTTTCCAATTAAGAAGGGTTCGGTGAATGCGCATATGAAACTGGTGGGGTTCAGTACCTCCAAAAAGGTTAAGAACCACTGTCCTAAGCATACCACCTCATCAGTGAAGCATGGTGGTGGTAGTGTCATGGCGTGGGCATGTATGGCTGCCAATGGAACTGGTTCTCTTATATTTATTGATGATGTGACTGCTGACAAAAGCAGCAGGATGAATTCTGAAGTGTTTCAGGCAATATTATCTGCTCATATTCAGCCAAATGCTTCAGAACTCATTGGATGCCGCTTTACAGTGCAGATGGACAATGACCCAAAGCATACTGCAAAAGCAACCAAAGAGTTTTTTTTTAAGGGAAAGAAGTGGAATGTTATGCAATGGCCAAGTCAATCACCTGACCTGAATCCGATTGAGCATGCATTTCACTTGCTGAAGACAAAACTGAAGGAAAAATGCCCCAAGAACAAGCAGGAACTGAAGACCGTTGCAGTAGAGTCCTGGCAGAGCATCACCAGGGATGAAACCCAACGTCTGGTGATGTCTATGCGTTCCAGACTTCAGGCTGTAATTGACTGCAATGGATTTGCAACCAAATATTAAAAAGTGAAAGTTTGATTTATGATTATTATTCTGTCCCATTACTTTTGATCCCTTAACAAGTGTGAGGCACATATGCAGACTGTTGTAATTCCTACACCGTTTACCTGATTTGGATGTAAATACCCTCAAATTAAAGTGGACAGTCTGCAGTTAAAGCACATCTTGTTCATTTCATTTCAAATCCATTGTGGTGATGTATAGAGCCAAAAATGTTAGAATTGTGTCGATGTCCCAATATTTATGGACCTGACTGTATATGAAACAATTAGTGAATTGAATACTCCATCATGAAGATTGTTGTGATTTGTTACAATGTGAATTTGTAAGAATTGCACAGTGTTGTATCATAGTGATGGGGTACCATTGGGAGGTTGTGTTAAGAGTTTGTCATCTACAATGTCTTTATTTATAATCATATATTGAAAGGTGTAGCTTTAAAGTATTTTATCTCTTACGTATGATGTTAATCAATTATTTGATACCTTAAACTCCTGTCTTTTACCAGTTTTGCTAATGAAATTTATTCTGGGATGTTGGCCCAAAACAATTTAAGTTTACACTCATCATACTCCCTTTGTTACAATATCTATCGTGTATGGATGAGGAGGGTGTAATAAGTTTGACCCCTGGAGCTCCAGTCTAGATTTGCATATTAGAGTGTTTGTTTGAGGTTCCTGTGTGGCTCTACAAGATATATATCAGTCTATACAAGCTCCTGTAGGTACCTTTCTAGTGTGCAGTCACGTTTGTTTTAGACTGAATACAGGTTTACTGTGAAAATTAGTTCCATTTTAACACAATATTCCTGTTTTCATATTTTAGAATTGCCAGACCTGCATGCTGGAGAGTTACAGCGTGACTCATACGATGTCCCTGATGTTATCACAGCTGATGCCTCAACCGAAGCCACGACTGATGTCTTACCTGGTGCCTCAAAAGCTGCAAAACATGATGAGGACAGTGAAAAGAGCAAAAAGGACAAAGAAGAATCTGAAGACAAGGGTAGAAGTGACTCAGAAGACAGTGAAGAGGACTCATCCAGTGGTAAGTCAGCAGGAGTAACAAGTAGGAGAGTTACTAAACAGTTACTAAAACTGGTGCACTTGGAATCCAATGCATGGAAGCCAATAAGCTTTTAACTTCAGCTTGTTCAATTAAGCTTTGACAATAAAACCTGGAAGCTGATTGGTTTCTGTGCAGAGCTGTGCCAGATTTTACACTCTTCAGTTTTAGTAAGTAACCCCCACTTTACGTAAAGGAGACTTTACCATCGGTGCTTCTCATTCAATTTTTCCTGGTTGGCATACTGGCCGTCTAGCTTTATTGCTTTGAGTAACTAACCTAGAATGAGTACGCAGATAAGAATGTGTGACTTTACTCTTGACTGTCCTGATCTGTATTTTTTTTTTTCCAAGCCTTTGAGTGTAAAAATCCTGAAGTTCCACCTCCAAAAAAAGATTTTGTTTTGTGCTCCTGAAGAACCCCCGACCCTAGGAAGACCTCAACTTCTCCAACACCTGTTTTAATTTTAGCTCAGTCTTTCCAATATAACGTGTGGTTTTTTTTTTTTTTTTTTTGTTCTTTGTAGTAGCTGAATCCATGAAGATGGATGTGGCTAGAGAACGATCCTTTGCAAGCCCTTTTTACCGTGAAGCCATGCGGTTTGAGATGACAGAGGAGATACAGGAAGACGGTACAGTAAGACCCCTCAGCACTGAAGCCACCTTGTTGGATAAGCTCCATCCTGAAATATATCGCTACGACCAGAACATCTGGAGCATCAGCCAGAGGTTCATATGTGGCACAAACAACAGACCGTACAACCAGCCCTCCATAATAGCCGATGATGATGACAGTGAAGTAGGACAGTCACCGATCCAAGTGCCCAACCTGGCTGAAGAGAAACCTTACCGATGTGTTGCCTGTGATCAGCTGTTCAAGTATAAGTCCAGCGTCACAAGACATTACGCTGTAGTGCATGGGGTGAAGCCTCACCAGTGCAACGAGTGTGGCAAACGGTTCTCCACCAAATTTAACTCTGTAGTGCACAAGTGTCATCCACACAAAAACAAAAGCCCCTGGGGAAATGATTCATCAGGTTTAAATAGTTAAGAATGTACCCAAAATTTGGAAAGTACTTTGCCACCTGCTTGTGTGTGCGCAAGTAGGCCCCGCCGAGGCGGTAGACAGACTGTTTGTGAACGTGTGTCATGATAGAATGCTTAAAGGGACTTTTACCTCATTTTTCTTTTCCTCTTTTATATTTGCCTAATGTAGATATTTAGGGGATTAGTGTAGAAGCATATTCTTGTTACAAGACTATTACTACTTCCTTTTGAGCAAGCTGGAAAATCCTAGGACCAGGTAGGAAAAGTGATTATGCACCAAAATGATTACAGCCGGTGCCTAACTTTTTTGAGCCTTGTTTATTTGCTGTTATAAGTGAAACTGCATCTCTGGATCCTTCGCTAAAGCCAGCTGTCTCCTAGTTCGGACTGACTTGCTCTTGAATTAATAATTTCCCCTGAGGATGTAATTAAGTTATGTTTTAGAGCACATTACAATGTGTAGTTGCAAAGTCCCCTTTCTTCTCACTAGGATAATCCTTTTTATGTTCATTACTGAGGTGTGATTATCCCTGCACAGTAAAGTAAATTCGAAGAAGTGGCCAAGTATGAGGCTGAGCTATGACACCATTGTGAATATGGTCAGGTCCCATAAGTTTCATTGGTGTTAAAAAACAGCTGAGAAATATGAAGCAAATGTCATCTCCAAGTTTGCTTAATGTACACAATCAACAAAAATGTATAAAGTTATATATATTCTAGGTGCTCGATGCAAAGACAATTTGAGGTTGGTGTCCCTTTTCAATGAAGCAGTGAAAACCAAGAACGTCCATAAACAGTGATTGGGTCAGTCGGCAGTTGTTACAGAGGGACCAGTTGAAATGTGGTGTGAAATGAACAGGGAGTAAAACCAAATTATGGTAAAAGAAGATGTTTGCAAGTGTTTTCTTTATTGGATTGTGATATTAAAGATTTTGCTTCAGCATGTAAACTAGTTTCCATTAAATAAATAATCAGTTAAAATCAGATCAAAATGTCAGCCATATGGCTAGCCACACTTTTCAAATGTATACACCCTGTTCCAAATTATTATGCAAATGATATTTTTTCTCATTTACCTAAATAATTGATGTAAATAACAGTCAGCATAATTCTCATGTTATCAACTATTAAGAGTACAATTCACATTTTAGCGAACAAACCTCCTAATGATAACAGGATTTTTTTAAACATAAAAAACTTCCAATGCACTGTTCCAAATTATTATGCACAGTAAGTTTCAAAACACTTTATAGGTTGTAAAGAACTGAAAATTGTAATTTGTTGTGTTTGCAGCATATTTACTGAAATCAAAAGCTATTTCAAACAAACTTTTAACAACATTTTAACTTTTTAAACATTTTAACAGGTCACGTTACATTGTAACATAGGTCCCCTTATTTGATAGCAGCTTCACAAGTCTTGCATCCATTGAACTTGTGAGTTTTTGGACAGTTTCTGCTTGAATTGGTTTGCAAGATGTCAGAATAGCCTCCCAGAGCTGCTGTTTGGATGTAAACTGCCTCCCACCCTCATAGATCTTTTGCTTGAGGATACTCCAAAGGTTCTCAATAGGATTGAGGTCAGGGGAGGATGGAGGCCACACCATGACTTTCTCTCCTTTTATCCCCATAGCAGCCATTGATGCAGAGGTATTCTTTGCAGCATGAGATGGTGCATTGTCATGCATGAAGATGATTTTATTACAGAAAGCATAGTTCTTCCTTCTGTACCAGGGAAGAAAGTGGTCAGTCATAAACTCCACATACTTTGCAGGGGTCATCTTTACACCTTCGGGGACCCTAAAAGGGCCAACCAGCTCTGTTCCCATGATTCCGGCCCAAAACATGACTCCACCACCTCCTTGCTGATGTCGCAGCCTTGCTGGAACAGGGTGGCCGTCCACCAACCATCCACTACTCCATCCATCTGGACCATCCAGGGTTGCACGGCACTCATCAGTTAACAGGACTGTTTGAAAATTAGTGTTCATGTATTTTTCTGCCCAATGCACCCTTTTCTGCTTGTGAACATTGGTTAGGGGTGGCTGAAAAAAAGGTTTGTGCACAGTTGCAAGACTCTGGAGGACTCTACGCCTTGATGTCCGTGGGACTCCAGAGGCACCAGCAGCTTCAAATATCTGTTTGCTGCTATGTAATGGTATTTTAGCAGCTGCTCTCTTGATCCGATGCATGGATGTGGCAGAAATCTTCCTCAATGTGCCTTTATCTGCACGAACCCGTCTGTGCTCTGAATCAGCCACAAATCTCTTAATAGTGCGATGATCGCGCTTAAGTTTTCATGAAATACCTAATGTTTTCATACCTCGTCCAAAGCATTGAACTATTTCACTCTTTTCGGCAGCAGAGAGATCCTTTTTCTTCCCCATATTGCTTGAAAATGGTGCTCTGCTTAATAATGTGGAACACCCTCCTTTAGTAGTTTTTCCTTAAATTGGGCTCACCGGCCAATCTAATTATCACAGGTGTCCGAGATTGTTTTCAGTGATCAAAAGAGCCCTGACACACAATGCCATCCATGAGTTAAACTGAAAAACAAAATATTTCATCTTTGTGGCACTTAAATAGAATTTGCATAATAATTTGAAACAGGGTGTATATTTCTGGAGAAATTTATTAGGAAAACTACAGTATATTAAATTGTGGCCATTAAGGGATGTGCATAGTCAGCAACAATATTCAGGTAGGCTGTGGTATTTACAGTCAGGTCCATAAATATTGGGACATCAACACAATTCTAACATGTTTGGCTCTATACACCACCACAATGGATTTGAAATGAAATGAACAAGATGTGCTTTAACTGCAGACTGTCAGCTTTAATTTGAGGGTATTTACATCCAAATCAGGTGAACGGTGTAGGAATTACAACAGTTTGCATATGTGCCTCCCACTTGTTAAGGGAATAAAAGTAATGGGACAGAATAATAATCATAAATCAAACTTTCACTTTTTAATACTTGGTTTCAAATCCTTTGCAGTCAATTACAGCCTGAAGTCTGGAACGCATAGACATCACCAGACGCTGGGTTTCATCCCTAGTGATGCTCTGCCAGGCCTCTACTGCAACTGTCTTCAGTTCCTGCTTGTTCTTGGGGCATTTTCCCTTCAGTTTTGTCTTCAGCAAGTGAAATGCATGCTCAATCGGATTCAGGTCAGGTGATTGACTTGGCCATTGCATAGCATTCCACTTCTTTCCCTTAAACCAGTGGTTCTCAACCTTTCTAATGCCGCGACCCCTTAATACAGTTCCTCATGTTGTGGTGACCCCCAGCCATAAAATTATTTTCGTTGCTACTTCATAACTGTAATTTTGCAGTGGGAGGAATAGTGCCTCATCATTGGTGTCAGTGGGAGGAATAGTGCCCCATCACTGATGTCAATGGGAGGAATAGTGCCCCATCATAGGTGTCAGTGGGGGGAATAGTGCCCCATCATTGGTATCAGTGGGAGGAATAGTGCCACGTCATTGGTGTCAGTGGGAGGAATAGTGTCCCATCACTGATGTCAATGGGAGGAGTAGTGCCCCATCATTGGTATCAGTGGTAGGAATAGTGCCCCCATCATTGGTGTCAGTGGTAGGAATAGTGCCCCATCATTGGTGCCAGTGGTAGGAATAGTGCCCCATCATAGGTGTCAGTGGGGGGAATAGTGCCCCATCGTTGGTGTCAGTGGGAGGAATAGTGCCCCATCGTTGGTGTCAGTGGGAGGAATAGTGCCCCATCGTTGGTGTCAGTGGGGGGAGGAATAGTGCCCCATCGTTGGTGTCAGTGGGGGGAGGAATAGTGCCCCATCGTTGGTGTCAGTGGGGGGAGGAATAGTGCCCCATCGTTGGTGTCAGTGGGGGGAATAGTGCCCCATCATTGGTGTCAGTGGGAGGAATAGTGCCCCATCACTGGTGTCAGTGGGAGGAATAGTGCCCCATCGTTGGTGTCAGTGGGAGGAAAAGTGCCCCATCGTTGGTGTCAGTGGGAGGAATAGTGCCCCATCGTTGGTGTCAGTGGGAGGAATAGTGCCCCATCGTTGGCGTCAGGGGGAGCAATAGTGCCCCAACGTTGGCGTCAGTGGGAGGAATAGTGCCCCATCGTTGGTATCAGAGGGAAGTATAGTGCCCCATCGTTGGTGTCAGTGGGAGGAATAGTGCCCCATCGTTGGTGTCAGTGGGAGGAATAGTGCCCCATCGTTGGTGTCAGGGATGGGAGGAATAGTGCCCCATCATAGGTGTCAGTGGGGGGAATAGTGCCCCATCATTGGTGTCAGTGGGGGGAATAGTGCCCCATCACTGGTGTCAGTGGGAGGAATAGTGCCCCATCACTGGTGTCAGTGGGAGGAATAGTGCCCCATCACTGGTGTCAGTGGGAGGAAAAGTGCCCCATCACTGGTGTCAGTGGGAGGAAAAGTGCCCCATCACTGGTGTCAGTGGGAGGAATAGTGCCCCATCATTGGTGTCAGTGGGGGGAATACGGCCCCATCGTTGGTGTCAGTGGGAGGAATAGTGCCCCATCGTTGGTGTCAGTGGGAGGAATAGTGCCCCATCGTTGGCGTCAGTGGGAGGAATAGTGCCCCATCGTTGGCGTCAGAGGGAGCAATAGTGCCCCATAAATGGTATCAGTGGGAGGAATAGTGCCCCATCATTGGTGTCAGTGGGAGGAATAGTGCCCCATCATTGGTATCAGAGGGAAGTATAGTGCCCCATCGTTGGTGTCAGTGGGAGGAATAGTGCCCCATCGTTGGTGTCAGTGGGAGGAATAGTGCCCCATCGTTGGTATCAGAGGGAAGTATAGTGCCCCATCGTTGGTGTCAGTGGGAGGAATAGTGCCCCATCGTTGGTGTCAGTGGGAGGAATAGTGCCCCATCGTTGGTGTCAGTGGGGGGAGGAATAGTGCCCCATCATTGGTAATAGTGACACCAATGATTGGGCACTATTCCTCCCACTGACACCAATGATACTTACCTTGCTGACCCCTGCTCCAGCCAGGGCTCGCTC